GTGTGGTAGTTACCACATACCCATGGTGTGGGTAGTAGTTACCACATACCCATGGTGTGGGTAGTAGTTACCACATACCCATGGTGTGGGTAGTAGTTACCACATACCCATGGTGTGGGTAGTAGTTACCACATACCCATGGTGTGGGTAGTAGTTACAACATACCCATGGTGTGGGTAGTAGTTACAACATACCCATGGTGTGGGTAGTAGTTACAACATACCCATGGTGTGGGTAGTAGTTACAACATACCCATGGTGTGGGTAGTAGTTACAACATACCCATGGTGTGGGTAGTAGTTACAACATACCCATGGTGTGGGTAGTAGTTACAACATACCCATGGTGTGGGTAGTAGTTACAACATACCCATGGTGTGGGTAGTAGTTACCACATACCCATGGTGTGGGTAGTAGTTACAACATACCCATGGTGTGGGTAGTAGTTACAACAAAAACTATGCATTTGGAAATTTATATTATCATTTAACTTACTTCGCGTAAACCACAGACAACTTGCAGGGAGATTCGCAGCAGCACCGTAGAACGCAGTAGCAGCAACATACGCAGAGCCTGCAAGATAGGATTAGCAAGATTGGGTCGTCTAAGCAAGACTTTGGCCAATCGCAACATGGCCACGACACAACGCTCAAGGAGAAACTGCCGGTCGGCGGCAACTGCCCCCATCAACAGTGAATAAATATGGTTTCGCACACCAGGCCAGACACCCAGGGCACGGTCTTTGTTGGCTACCAAAACTTGCACGACTAATTCGAGGAGGAACGCCTGACTGTGTTCATCTAGTCCTCCAGTCATGCCGTCCTCAAGCAAGCTTCCTCGAGGACCTATACCAGTGTCTCCTAGAGTGCTGGCATCTCCTGCACCCATCATGGCTTTCAGCAGTTCATTTAACGAATCGCATCGAAGGAATGCAGACTCGGTGATGAGCTTCTCAGGATGGCACTCTAAGATACAGGCTCTGGCTCTCTGCGACAGCTCTATGTCTTCCGGGTTTGTCCCTCTGGCAGTGCCAGCATCACCAAGGGAGATATAAGAGTATAGAGATGACAGCAAGCCAGACTCTACTCTAGGAACAGCAACTGGAGTCTCTCGCATCAAGCTTATGTGCCCACTCGACTCTACGAAGTCTTCGCTCTCCACTAGCGAGGATGGAAGGAGGCGACAGCGGAAAAGCTGCAGGAGAAGGTCCAAGATGTTCTTCCAGCCATCTCTCAAAATGTCGCCATGTGACGTGACCAGCTTGAAGACTGTCCTGGCAGCAAGCTGAGCTTTCTTGTTAGACCCAAACGACACGGTCACATGCTCTGGCGGTTCAACAGAGGAAGCTGTCAGTGTAGTAAATTTACAGAGCGACACCACCAGGTTGTCAAAAACGTCGCTCATGCCGTATCTCGCAGAAATAGATGCACATTTCCTGAAGCCCGATAGTGCTCTCTGGATAATGGCATCATCAGAGGACTTGTCGAAAACATAGGAGAGCGAGGCGATGGTTGGGCCCCAGCAGATGGCGAACAAGTCGCGGTCAAAGGCTGTGTTGCCATTGGCAAGGAGGTACTCCCCCTCTTTGGTCATTCCTCGCTTCAACAACATCTTCCACATGTAATTCTCCTTCACTAATCCTGTGTGTTCCGAAGGCATGACTATTTCGTCCAGACGAATTGCATTGTAAATCTCTTCCAGCATGTCCGGATCAAAGTCTTTGCCATCGTTGACACCACGCAAGTTGTTGCGAAACTGGTCAAGAGTCATGGGTATATTCTGTTTCTTGGCATTCTGATTGTGTTGGTCAACATTGAGCATGATAATAGCATAAGCGAGAGTAAACGCTGCATCCTCCTTCCCAAATGGTTCGTTGTTGCTGGTATGCCAGTGGGATGAGAAATGCTCGATGATGATAGAGATGAGAGGAGCCTCCCCAGGGAGCCTAAAACTCTCCAGGAATGTGCGTAGCGCCTCGTCGACTCGCAGTCCTCGAAACTCAAAGGATCTCACAAAAGCTGACAGTATGTCGACATTCTTCTTCTTGCTCACGTACTCACCGATCATCTTCTTACAGAGCTGAGGATTCTCTCGAAGAAACACAGCAATATCATCATTAGTATTCCCAATAATTCCATTGTCCTGCAAAAATTTAATGCCTTTGTCAGGCTTAGCATTAAACTGATCCGTTCCAGCAGCCAAGAGTTTTTTCTGTTCCTTGAGCGCCACCAAGTGTTCCCGTGAGACAGTCTGACTGTCCATCAGTACAGTGCGAGCCTTGAGCTGGGGTGTGACTGGTGAGAACCCGCCATGAAGACCCAGTCCCAGGAGGTATCCCGACGACACCGGCGCCACCACCAGAGGCATCTGTTTAAGATCGTGTACCGCATCCAATGACTTTCTATCTCTGCTCGTGCTGTGTCCCTCAATTGTCTCAATGACTGTAAAAAGTGCCTCTAAAGACAGTAAATTGGTAGAATAGAGGCCCTGAACAGGAAATGCATTCTTAGAGAGGACTTTAGTTAGGTCTTCAAATAAATTAGAAGCATATAGGTCACAGTCATAGTTCAGGAAGAGCTCCGTGACGAGTCCAGGAATTCGCCACAACTGAACGATGGTCTCCAAGGCTAACTCCTTGTGAGCATAAGTTACATTTGCCATTTCCGATGTTATAATTTCCGTAAGCTTGTTGAGGAACATTTCGATCTGAAACTTGAAGTGGGTACGCAAGGACTCGCAAAATAGGGTGCATATACGCAGGGATGCCATGAAGATGCTTAGCCTGTGGTCAGGTTTCAGAAGCATGAAGAGGTTCCTGCAGAGCTGGTCCTTCAGAAGTGTCATCAATGATGGTGTCAGATTGATGTGATGGGCGCCAACTTCCAGGCCGACCGTCAGCAGGTTGAGTGCTGTGAGAATCATGGAAGGTGTATTTTGTTCGTTGGTTGGCGAAGTGAGAGAGATTAAGAACCTGAACACCTCTCTTACGCAGGGCATACCATAGGGCACCAGTGTACCCTCTTCAACACTCACTCCCTCCTGAGTGAACTTCACTCCCTGGGCATTGATGAACTCCTCCTTCTCGACCTGAAGCATGTTATCTGATCGAGAGGCAGTCTCCAAGGGCTCGGTTTCAATGTCTCCGTGACTGACTACCTCGGCTGACGACTGCGACGTGTTGGTTTCCGATCGTTCCCTGGACACTGCCTCAATGTGATCGGCATCACAGATCTTGGAGGAACACACGCCATCTGGTTCATTCACTGAGCTTGCAAGATTTTCCATTGAACTACAGTTATCTGGGGCTAAATGAGCATTGGATATGTCAACCTTGTTTTCAACCGGAGAAATGGAATCCATGATTCCTGAATCAACCGAGGCTGTGTCCCCAACCGGGTTGTCTCCAACAATAGCACTACTCAAGGACTCCAGCTCAGATTCGGATGGCGACACCATGGCAAGTGGCGACAGTTCCTCTTTGATGCCTAAATCAGACTCTTCCTCCTCTTTCTTCATCTGTTCTGATGCTTTAGTTGCTAGAGTTGGCTCTGGGGGAGGAGGGGTAGAGGATGGCGTCGGTCGGGGGGATTTGCCCTTCCTGCGACCTTTGCCCTCTCCTCCTGCCCGCATCTTCAGTCTCCTGGCCTGCCCCTGAATCCTGGGATCATCTTTAAACTGAGGGAGGCGAGCAAAGAGAAGCTGTACCATGTGCCTCAGTGCATCCTCAGTACAATTCCTCAAGAGCTCACTGAGTCGCGTCTCAAAGCAGATGCGAAAGGAAGAATTTAATATTTCACAAACAGATTCGTTGGTGAGAAGGTGACCGACGGGACCCAGCATGAGCGTCCTCAACACAGTCAGTATTTCCCACAAGACAACCTCGTCGGCCCCTTGGTCAGTGCCCACAAAGCGAGCATGGGTGACTGCTGCAGCCACTGCCTCTACGGCACTGACGGCACTGCTGCACTCCTCTGTGATGAGGCCATAGTTCAGCATTCTGCAACACAAAAACAAAACGATGGAATGCAACCAATGAAAAATAAGAATTTATGTTTAAAACTTTTTTAAGAAATTACAGGTGGTCCTCAGCTTACAATGATGTTATGTTCCAATGAACCCGTCATAAGTAAAAATACCTTAAGTTGAAAATATCGTAAGTCAAAATTATCCTAAGTCAAAATTATTGTAAATCGAATATGAATACAGTGGACCCCCGCATAATGATTACCTCCGAATGCGACCAATTATGTAAGTGTATTTATGTAAGTGCGTTTGTATGTGTATGTTTGGGGGTCTGAAATGGACTAATCTACTTCACAATATTCCTTATGGGAATAAATTCGGTCAGTACTGGCACCTGAACATACTTATGGAGTGAAAAAATATCGTTAACCGGGGGTCCACTGTATAGTGGTACTTCGGGATACAAACAACTCAAAACTCGAACGGTTACGCAGTGTATTTATGTAAGTGCTTTTGTAAGTGTATTTTTGGGGGTCTGAAACAGATTAATCTAATTTACATTATTCCTTATGGGAACAAATTCGTTCGGTATCAGCACTTGAACAGCGTTCTGGAACAAATTAATTTCGTATCCCGAGGTACCACCGTATATGCTAAATAAATAACTAGTGACACTGAATAAGTAACTTAACAAATGTTTACTATAACTAAATACATGTATCAGTATTGAAAAGCCAATAAATGAATACAAGTTAGGGAGTTGCCACCTTCATGCTGGGTAATTATCTAAATTTTCATCTCCAAAGTAACCGCTCTTGCTCCATGGTAAGTCAAGCGGCACCTCTGATACTGAATCAGTCGATCCCTCAAACTTTCCAGTTTCGTAAATCATGTTCTTCAATTGTACACTTGCCTGAAATACTCTGCATAACCATGGGCTTTCTGCATGACTAGATGAGAGTAATATTTAACCAGATCAGAGCAATATTGAACCAGATCAGAGCAATATTGAACCAGATCAGAGCAATATTGAACCAGATCAGAGCAATATTGAACCAGATCAGAGCAATATTTAACTAGATCAGAGCAATATTTAACTAGATCAGAGCAATATTTAACTAGATCAGAGCAATATTGAACCAGATCAGAGCAATATTTAACTAGATCAGAGCAATATTTAACTAGATCAGAGCAATATTGAACCAGATCAGAGCAATATTGAACCAGATCAGAGCAATATTTAACCAGATCAGAGCAATATTTAACTAGATCAGAGCAATATTTAACCCTTTGAGGGTTTTCGTCGTACTAGTACGTCTTACGCGTAGGGGTTTTTGACGTACTAGTACTCATAAATTCTAGCGGCCTCAAATCTAGTGGGAGAAACCTGGTAGGCCTTCATATGAAAGAATGGGTCTATGTGGTCAGTGTGCACAGTCTAAAAAAAATCCTGCAGCACACAGTGCATAATGAGAAAAAAAAAACTTTGACCATTTTTTTTGAATAAATCAGCGACTTTGCAGTGTATTTTCGTATGGTATTTATTGTTGTATTCTAGTTTTCTTGGTCTCATTTTATAGAATGGAAGACATATTACAGAAATTGAGATGATTTTGACTGGTTTTACAAAGAAAGGTGCCTTGAAATTGAGCTCAAAGTAGCAGAAATGATCGATTTTTACCAAACTTCAAAAGTAAACAAATCGTGCCAAGCGTGGCGTGCAATACACGTCAACTGGTGAGTCTAATATTCTTTCACAAGTGCACCAATAATATTTATACCATTTTTTACACTAATGCAGTAGTCTGCATAACAGTAAATCTTATATTTTTTGTGAAAATAAAAATTCAAAGTGGAAAGCAAAAGAATATAAGAGGGTCCTTGAGACATGACTAATGACTAGAGGAAATGTCATTTTAGTGCCAGGAATGTCTTTCTTGTTTATTCTGGACCCTATTCGGAAATTGGCATCTTTTGAAATTTGTGTGAAATTGGCAAAATTGCTAAATTCTGACCACTGTACTGGATAGTAGAATTTCATAAATGAGTGGTTTCTTGCACCCATTCGATAGAAAAAATGGAGTTCTATCGAAATATTCATGTTTTTTGTCGACTAGTACAGTGAAATTGGCCGAAAATGGGGCTCAAAGTGGGCAAAATCGCCGATGCGTAAACATCGCCGAGACCGCTAACTTTGCGAGAGCATAATTCCGTAAGTTTTCTATCAAATTTCAAACTTTTGGTGTCTTTATGATCGGGAAAAGATTCTCTATCTTTTCATAAGAGAAAATAATTTTTTTTTTTTAAATTTGGCCGACCCTGAGAACGAGTTTCGGAGAGGGCCTGTCGACCCTCAAAGGGTTAACTAGATCAGAGCAATATTGAACCAGATCAGAGCAATATTTAACCAGATCAGAGCAATATTGAACCAGATCAGAGCAATATTGAACCAGATCAGAGCAATATTTAACTAGATCAGAGCAATATTTAACTAGATCAGAGCAATATTGAACCAGATCAGAGCAATATTGAACCAGATCAGAGCAATATTTAACTAGATCAGAGCAATATTGAACTAGATCAGAGCAATATTGAACCAGATCAGAGCAATATTGAACCAGATCAGAACAATATTGAACTAGATCAGAGCAATATTGAACCAGATCAGAGCAATATTGAACCAGATCAGAGCAATATTGAACTAGATCAGAGCAATATTGAACCAGATCAGAGCAATATTGAACTAGATCAGAGCAATATTGAACCAGATCAGAGCAATATTGAACCAGATCAGAACAATATTGAACAAGATCAGAGCAATATTTAACTAGATCAGAGCAATATTGAACCAGATCAGAACAATATTGAACTAGATCAGAGCAATATTTAACTAGATCAGAGCAATATTGAACCAGATCAGAACAATATTGAACTAGATCAGAGCAATATTTAACTAGATCAGAGCAATATTGAACTAGATCAGAGCAATATTGAACTAGATCAGAACAATATTGAACTAGATCAGAGCAATATTGAACTAGATCAGAGCAATATTGAACTAGATCAGAACAATATTGAACTAGATCAGAGCAATATTGAACCAGATCAGAACAATATTGAACTAGATCAGAGCAATATTGAACTAGATCAGAGCAATATTGAACTAGATCAGAACAATATTGAACTAGATCAGAGCAATATTGAACTAGATCAGAGCAATATTGAACTAGATCAGAGCAATATTGAACTAGATCAGAGCAATATTGAACCAGATCAGAACAATATTGAACTAGATCAGTGCAATATTGAACTAGATCAGAGCAATATTGAACTAGATCAGAACAATATTGAACTAGATCAGAACAATATTGAACTAGATCAGAACAATATTGAACTAGATCAGAACAATATTGAACTAGATCAGAGCAATATTTAACTAGATCAGAACAATATTGAACCAGATCAGAGCAATTCTTCATAGAGTTCTTCTTTCTGAATACAAAATGAACCCAAATCTTTACCAAAATTAATTCTTCTTTCTTTCTTTCAACACACCGGCCGTATCCCACCGAGGCGGGGCGGCTCAAAAGGAAAAACGAACGTTTCTCCTTTTACATTTAGTAATATATACAGAAGAAGGGGTTACTAGCCCCTTGCTCCCGGCATTTTAGTCGCCTCTTATGACACGCATGGCTTACAGAATAAGAATTCTGTTCCACTTCCCCATGAAGAACCAAAAGTAATTATACTGAGAAAATTGTGTATATGTACTTGCAAAATCTAGATAGAGGAGGTCTCCTGGAACACAGGTCTTGTCATCTGGAGGTTCAGCTAAACACAAGCACAGAAGTACCAGCACAAACATAGCAACCAAAGTACAACAGCATTACAGTGGACCCCCGCATAACGATTACCTCCGAATGCGACCAATTATGTAAGTGTATTTATGTAAGTGCGTTTGTACGTGTATGTTTGGGGGTCTGAAATGGACTAATCTACTTCACAATATTTCTTATGGGAACAAATTCGGTCAGTACTGGCACCTGAACATACTTCTGGAGTGAAAAAATATCGTTAACCGGGGGTCCACTGTACAAAAATTCTGGCAAGATGGTGATCGAGTGAGTTATGGCGAGTGTTTCTTCTTTTTCGGGTTACCCTGCCTCGGTGGGAGACAGCCAGCATGTTAAAAAGAAAAATTTTGTATGTGAGTTGAGGATATTGCAATTCAAAGTGTTATCTGAAGTGTGATACCAGCACACTTCTGGCAATAAAGTGGCTGAATGAATGATGGTAAATGTTTCCTCTTTGAATAGGCAAGGAAGAGGTCATCGTACTTCTGTTAAAGACAGCCAGTGTGTTGAAAACATATTAAAGAGAGGTGTTAATATAACTAACCTGTTAACAGCAGCCAGAGCACCTTTGGTGACAGGCCCGGTGGTGTCCTCAGAACGGATGATTGCCAGAAATGGATCCAGGAATGTACTGGGGTCCATGGTGTCATCTGGACCCAGGGAGGTGACCGTAGTCCTCAACTCCTTCAACTTCATGACCAGCGGATCACGTTCCATGTCCTGCAAGGGAACAACTTACAAGATAGAAAGTGCACAGCAACAGTCAACCTAGCAGACAAAATATTTTTTTTTTTATTATTAACACACTGGCCGATTCCCGCCAAGGCAGGGTGGCCACCAAGGCAGGGTGGCCACCAAGGCAGGGTGGTCCACCAAGGCAGGGTGGCCCACCAAGGCAGGGTGGCCCACCAAGGCAGGGTGGTCCACCAAGGCAGGGTGGCCCACCAAGGCAGGGTGGCCCACCAACGCAGGGTGGTCCACCAAGGCAGGGTGGCCCGAAAAAGAAAAACTTTCACCATCATTCACTCCATCACTGTCTTGCCAGAAGGGTGCTTTACACTACAGTTTTTAAACTGCAACATTAACACCCCTCCTTCAGAGTGCAGGCACTGTACTTCCCATCTCCAGGACTCAAGTCCGGCCTGCCGGTTTCCCTGAACCCCTTCATAAATGTTACTTTGCTCACACTCCAACAGCACACAAAACATCCACACTCAACCGATAATAATAATAATAATAATAATAATCATAAATTTATTTTATCATGATACATGTTTGTACAAAGGAATATAACAATTGTATGTACATGCCAAAAGCCCCTTTATATGCAGAGCATTTTGGGCATTTGGGGTCAAAACGTGCACACAAGACACAGTTAACCCATGGGGTCAAAAGAAGCACATGACCTAAATCCTGCCCAACGCCCTCAACTGACCTGCTGGTGTGACGACCAGCGGGGAGTTGACCGCTTCATGGCGGCCAGCAGTGGTGTTATCTCGCCCAGGAGGATGCGACCATAACAGATGGTTGGGCGACGGGTTGTCACCGGAGGAATCTGCAGCACCACGACCTCCTCGCTCGCTGCTGCTGCGGAGGGGGCAACAACCCCCTCCGCAGCCCCCATGTCTGGGGTCGATCCTTCAACCATACTGATTCATATCACAACCTGAAATATAGTAATAATAATAATAATAAAAATATAGATAATTATTAATGAAAATAGCACATAATTATAATAATAATAATAATAATAATAATAATAACGACGACATTCAAAAGGAATACTAAGGTTTATCTTTGCGACTGACATTACAGTCCATACAAGACATAAAGGTTATTTTTACTCATTTTCACCATACATTGTACAGTCACTACAGAAACATCCTCATCATCCTTCAAAGGTATTTATTTCCCACACAGCAAAAATCGTATCTTGGTATACACAGAATATAGTGTATGTGGTGGCGCCTCAGTGTACTGGACTAACGCAGGGAGGAACGGGTCAGTGGTAAAGGTGACGGTGGTGGATGACGATATTGTTTCGACTGACTACAGCAATAATATAATTCTGAAACCAATGAACTTAGTCTCTTGCTTATAAATAAATCAGTGAAGACACATACAACACACACACACACACGCACACACACACACAACACACACACATACACACACACATACGCACACACACACATACACATACACACGCACACACAAACATACATAACAAATAAAGAGTCAAGAGCTATAACTTAACCTCTGTAACCTGAATCAGGCGAGTACACACACACACACACACACACACAACACACACACACACAACACACACACACACAAAATTTACATAATATAAATTACATATACAAATTATATTCAAATCATATATATAAATTACCAATTACCATAATACTAAATGCAAAGAAAATAATTAACTCTCCCATTTTTTTATGTTTACAATGATGGAATTTTATCCTGGCCGTTAACCCGGAGTATCGGAACTACACGACTCCCTAAACTGACCCACCTCAGAGAACTGAAGAAAAAATAACCCGGGATAATAAATCTGAACAGGATAAAAAAATCCACTGAGATTAAAAAAACCCACCGGGGTTAAAAAATCCACCGGGGTTAAAAAATCCACCGGGATTAAAAAATCCACCAGGATTAAAAAATCCACCAGAATTAAAAAATCCACCAGGATTAAAAAATCCTAATCCCTCTCACCATCTGGGTGACTGACCAAATAAGACAAATCCCTCTCCTCCAGAGGATTACACCTCCAGGATTACTTAAAAATAACTAACAACTCAAAAAAGTAATAAATCCCCCAGGATAAAAAAAAATTTAATCCCTCACCACCTGGATAACTGACCAAATAAGACAGTAAATCCCTCCCCCGGGGGGATTACACCCCCAGGATTAACAACCACCCATGCTCAAAAAATTAATAAATCCCCCAGGGGGTAAAAAATCCTAATCCCTTTCACCATCTGGACACCAGACTAAGACATCATAAATCCCTGCCCCCCCCGGGGGCTACACCCCCTGGGACACCTCAAAGTGAACACACATCACTAATGCATCACCACAATATCCACGATGGCGAAAAGATGGATATTTGGGCGAGAAAATGGCTAAAAACTGGCGAGAACGGCGGTGATGGTGGACTCAGGTGACGTGTAGTGCTCCAACCTTCATAGGGACCATTATGATAAATATTTACTTACATTTTTAGGAATTTCTAACTTATTTAACCTCAAAAATAAGTCCATTGGGAAGAAAAAAATAATTAACATCATGTAATCTTAAAATTCCTTTTAGTTGTGGTGATTTATGTATGTAAATATTGATTCAAATGTGATTTTATTAAGTGTTAGTTCTACCTTATTTTACCTCAAAAATAAGCCCATTGGCAAGAAAATAATAAATAATATATTGTAATTCTAAAATTGTGTCCATTTATTCTGATTTATGTACAAATCTATTGATCTAAAAGTATTTTTTTTAATTTATTAGTAATTTCTACCTCATTTAATACCAAAAATAAGCTCATTGGCAAGAAAAAAAGGAGTAATATATTATAATTCTATATTTGTGCTCAGTTATTCTGATTTTTGTATAAAAATATTGATTTTTAGGAGATTTTTACACTAGTGGTCCTTATAAGTCAAAATTTTATATATTTATTCCTGTAATAAATTTTTTGTAATTAATGTATTGTAAATAAAATATTTTTCTCATGTATTAAATGCATGTTATCTTGTTAGCTGAGGTGGGATAACTAATGTTATCTTGTTAGCTGAGGTGAGATAACTACTGTTATCTTGTTAGCTGAGGTGTGAGATAACTACTGTTATCTTGTTAGCTGAGGTGAGATAACTAATGTTATTTGTTAGCTGAGGTGAGATAACTAATGTTATTCTTGTTAGCTGAGGTGAGATAACTAATGTTATCTTGTTAGCTGAGGTGAGAAAAACTACTGTTACTTGTTAGCTGAGGAGAGATAACTACTGTTATCTTGTTAGCTGAGGTGAGATAACTACTGTTATCTTGTTAGCTGAGGTGAGATAACTACTGTTATCTTGTTAGCTGAGGTGAGATAACTAATGTTATCTTGTTAAGCTGAGGTGAGATAAACTATGTTATCTTGTTAGCTGAGGTGAGATAACTACTGTTATCTTGTTAGCTGAGGTGAGATAACTACTGTTATCTTGTTAGCTGAGGTGAGATAACTACTGTTATCTTGTTAGCTGAGGTGAGATAACTAATGTTATCTTGTTAGCTGAGGTGAGATAACTACTGTTATCTTGTTAGCTGAGGTGAGATAACTAATGTTATTCTTGTTAGCTGAGGTGAGATAACTGATGTTATCTTCTTAGCTGAGGTGAGATAAACTAATGTTATCTTGTTAGCTGAGGTGAGATAACTACTGTTATCTTGTTAGCTGAGGTGAGATAACTGATGTTATCTTGTTAGCTGAGGTGAGATAACTAATGTTATCTTGTTAGCTGAGGTGAGATAACTACTGTTATCTTGTTAGCTGAGGTGAGATAACTAATGTTATCTTGTTAGCTGAGGTGAGATAACTACTGTTATCTTGTTAGCTGAGGTGAGATAACTAATGTTATCTTGTTAGCTGAGGTGAGATAACTGATGTTATCTTGTTAGCTGAGGTGAGATAACTAATGTTATCTTGTTAGCTGAGGTGAGATAACTGATGTTATCTTGTTAGCTGAGGTGAGATAACTAATGTTATCTTGTTAGCTGAGGTGAGATAACTACTGTTATCTTTTTAAAGCTGAGGTGAGATAACTGATGTTATCTTGTTAGCTGAGGTGAGATAACTAATGTATCTTGTTAGCTGAGGTGAGATAACTACTGTTATCTTGTTGGGCTGAGGTGAGATAACTAATGTTATCTTGTTATCTGAGGTGAGATAACTACTGTTTCTTGTTAGCTGAGGTGAGATAACTAATGTTATCTTGTTAGCTGAGGTGAGATAACTGATGTTATCTTGTTAGCTGAGGTGAGATAACTAATGTTATCTTGTTAGCTGAGGTGAGATAACTAATGTTATCTTGTTAGCTGAGGTGAGATAACTAATGTTATCTTGTTAGCTGAGGTGAGATAACTAATGTTATCTTTTTTAGCTGAGGTGAGATAACTAATGTTATCTTGTTAGCTGAGGTGAGATAACTAATGTTATCTTGTTAGCTGAGGTGAGATAACTACTGTTATCTTGTTAGCTGAGGTGAGATAACTAATGTTATCTTGTTAGCTGAGGTGAGATAACTACTGTTATCTTGTTAGCTGAGCTGAGATAACTAATGTTATCTTGTTAGCTGAGGTGAGATAACTAATGTTATCTTGTTAGCTGAGGTGAGATAACTAATGTTATCTTGTTAGCTGGGGTGAGATAACTACTGTTATCTTGTTAGCTGAGGTGAGATAACTAATGTTATCTTGTTAGCTGAGGTGAGATAACTAATGTTATCTTGTTAGCTGAGGTGAGATAACTAATGTTATCTTGTTAGCTGAGGTGAGATAACTACTGTTATCTTGTTAGCTGAGGTGAGATAACTACTGTTATCTTGTTAGCTGAGGTGAGATAACTACTGTTATCTTGTTAGCTGAGGTGAGATAACTACTGTTATCTTGTTAGCTGAGGTGAGATAACTGGGGACACAACAACAAGGGGACACAGCAACAGGGGACACAACAACAAGGGGACACAACAACAAAGGGGACACAGCAACAAGGGGGACACAACAACAAGGGGACACAGAAAACAAGGGGACACAACAACAAGGGGACACAGCAACAAGGGGACACAACAACAAGGGGACACAACAACAAGGGGACACAACAACAAGGGGACACAACAACAAGGGGACACAGCAACAAGGGGACACAACAACAAGGGACACAACAACAAGGGGACACAACAACAAGGGGACACAGCAACAAGGGGACACAGCAACAAGGGGACACAGCAACAAGGGGACACAGCAACAAGGGGACACAGCAACAAGGGGACACAACAACAAGGGGACACAACAACAAGGGGACACAGTAACAAGGGGACACAGCAACAAGGGGACACAACAACAAGGGGACACAACAACAAGGGGACACAACAACAAGGTGACACAGCAACAAGGGGACACAACAACAAGGGACACACAACACAAGGGGACACAACAAAAAGGGGGACACAACAACAAGGGGACACAACAACAAGGTGACACAGAAACAAGGGACACAACAACAAGGGGACACAACAACAAGGGGACACAACAACAAAGGGACACAGCAACAAGGGGACACAACAACAAGGGGACACAACAACAAGGGGACACAACAACAAGGGGACACAACAACAAGGGGACACAGCAACAAGGATACACAACAACAAGGGGACACAACAATAAGGGGACACAACAACAAGGGGACACAACAACAAGGGGACACAACAACAAGGGGACACAACAACAAGGGGACACAGCAACAAGGGGACACAACAACAAGGGACACAACAACAAGGGGACACAACAACAAGGGGACACAACAACAAGGGGACACAACAACAAGGGGACACAACAACAAGGGGACACAACAAAAAGGGGGACACAACAACAAGGGGACACTACAACAAGGGGACACAACAACAAGGGGACACAACAACAAGGGGACACAACAACAAGGGGACACAACAACAAGGGGACACAACAACAAGGGGACACAACAACAAGGGGACACAACAACAAGGTGACACAGCAACAAGGGGACACAACAACATGGGGACACAGCAACAAGGGGACACAACAACAAGGGGACACAACAACAAGGGGACACAGCAACAAGGGGACACAACAACAAGGGGACACAACAACAAGGGGACACAACAACAAGGGGACACAACAACAAGGGGACACAACAACAAGGGGACACAACAACAAGGGGACACAACAACAAGGGGACACAACAACAAGGGGACACAACAACAAGGGGACACAACAACAAGGGGACACTACAACAAGGGGACACAACAACAAGGGGACACAACAACAAGGGGACACAACAAAAAGGGGGACACAACAACAAGGGGACACAACAACAAGGGGACACAACAACAAGGGGACACAACAACAAGGTGACACAGCAACAAGGGGACACAACAACAAGGGGACACAGCAACAAGGGGACACAACAACAAGGGGACACAGCAACAAGGGGACACAACAACAAGGGGACACAACAACAAGGGGACACAGCAACAAGGGCACAACAACAAGGGGACACAACAACAAGGGGACACAACAACAAGGGGACACAACAACAAGGGGACACAACAACAAGGTGACACAGCAACAAGGGGACAAAAACAACAAGGGACACAGCAACAAGGGGACACAACAACAAGGGGACACAACAACAAGGGGACACAACAACAAGGGGACACAACAACAAGGGGACACAACAACAAGGTGACAAAACAACAAGGGGACACTACAACAAGGGGACACAACAACAAGGGGACACAACAACAAGGGGACACAACAACAAGGGGACACAACAACAAGGGGACACAACAACAAGGGGACACAACAACAAGGTGACACAGCAACAAGGGACACAACAACAAGGGGACACAGCAACAAGGGGACACAGCAACAAGGGGACACAGCAACAAGGGGACACAGCAACAAGGGGACACAACAACAAGGGGACACAACAACAAAGGGGACACAGTAACAAGGGGACACAGCAACAAGGGACACAACAACAAGGGGACACAACAACAAGGGGACACAAAAACAAGGTGACACAGCAACAAGGGGACACAACAACAAGGGGACACAAAACAAGGGACACAACAACAAGGGGACACAACAACAAGGGGACACAACAACAAGGTGACACAGCAACAAGGGGACACAACAACAAGGGGACACAACAACAAGGGGACACAACAACAAGGTGAACAGCAACAAGGGGACACAACAACAAGGGGACACAACAACAAGGGGACACAACAACAAGGGGACACAACAACAAGGGGACACAGCAACAAGGATACACAACAACAAGGGGACACAACAACAAGGGTACACAAAAACAAGTGGACACAACAACAAGGGGACACAACAACAAGGGGACACAACAACAAGGGGACACAGCAACAAGGGGACACAACAACAAGGGGACACAACAACAAGGGGACACAACAACAAGGGGACACAACAACAAGGGGACACAACAACAAGGGGACACAACAACAAGGGGACACAACAACAAGGGGACACAACAACAAGGGGACACTACAACAAGGGGACACAACAACAAAGGGGACACAACAACAAGGGGACACAACAACAAGGGGACACAACAACAAGGGGACACAACACCCAAGGGGACACAACAACAAGGGGACACAACAACAAGGTGACACAGCAACAAGGGGACACAACAACAAGGGGACACAGCAACAAGGGGACACAACAAAAAGGGGGGACACAACAAAAAGGGGGACACAGCAACAAGGGGACACAACAACAAGGGGACACAACAACAAGGGGACACAACAAAAAGGGGGACACAACAACAAGGGGACACAACAACAAGGTGACACAGCAACAAGGGGACACAACAACAAGGGGACACAGCAACAAGGGGACACAACAACAAGGGGACACAACAACAAGGGGACACAGCAACAAGGGACACAACAACAAGGGGACACAACAACAAGGTGACAAAACAACAAGGGGACACAGCAACAAGGGGACACAACAACAAGGGGGACACAGCAACAAGGGGACACAACAACAAGGGGACCCAGCAACAAGGGGACACAACAACAAGGGGACACAGCAACAAGGGGACACAGCAACAAGGGGACACAGCAACAAGGGGACACAACAACAAGGGGACACAGCAAAAAGGGGGACACAACAACAAGGGGACACAGCAACAAGGGGACACAACAACAAGGGGACACAACAACAAGGGGACACAGCAACAAGGGGACACAACAACAAGGGGACACAACAACAAGGTGACACAGCAACAAGGGGACCAACAACAAGGGGACACAGCAACAAGGGGACACAACAACAAGGGGACACAGCAACAAGGGGACACAACAACAAGGGGACACAGCAACAAGGGGACACAACAAAAGGGGACACAGCAACAAGGGGACACAACAACAAGGGGACACAACAACAAGGGGACACAGCAACAAGGGGACACAACAACAAGGGGACACAACAACAAGGGGACACAACAACAAGGGGACACAACAACAAGGGGACACTACAACAAGGGGACACAACAACAAGGGGACACAACAACAAGGGGACACAAACAAAGGGGACACTACAACAAGGGGACACAACAACAAGGGGACACAACAACAAGGGGACACAACAACAAGGGGACACAACAACAAGGGACACACAACAAGGGGACACAACAACAAGGGGGACACAACAACAAGGGGACACTACAAAAAGGGGACACAGCAACAAGGGGACACTACAACAAGGGGACACAGCAACAAGGGGACACAGCAACAAGGGGACACAACAAGACGGGGACACAACAACAAGGGACACTACAACAAGGGGACACAGCAACAAGGGGACACTACAACAAGGGGACACAGCAACAAGGGGACACAACAACAAGGGACACAACAAGACGGGGACCCCAACAACAAGGGGACACAGCAACAAGGGACACAACAACAAGGGGACACAGCAACAAGGGGCACTACAACAAGGGGACACAGCAACAAGGGGACACAGCAACAAGGGGACACAACAAGACGGGGACACAACAACAGGGGACACAACAACAAGGGGACACTACAACAAGGGGACACAGCAACAAGGGGACACTACAACAAGGGGACACAGCAACAAGGGGACACAACAACAAGGGGACACAACAAGACGGGGACACAACAACAAGGGGACACAGCAACAAGGGGACACAACAACAAGGGGACACAGCAACAAGGGGACACAACAACAAGGGGACACAACAACAAGGGGACAAAACAAGACGGGGACACAACAAGGGGACACAACAACAAGGGGACACAACAACAAGGGGACACAACAACAAGGGACACAGCAACAAGGGGACACAACAACAAGGGGACACAGCAACAAGGGGACACAACAACAAGGGGACACAACAACAAGGGGACACAACAACAAGGGGACACAACAACAAGGGGCCCACAGCAACAAGGGGACACAGCAACAAGGGGACACAACAACAAGGGGACACAGCAACAAGGGGACACAGCAACAAGGGGACACAACAACAAGGTGACACAACAACAAGGTGACACAGCAACAAGGGGACACAACAACAAGGGGACACAACAACAAGGGGACACAACAACAAGGGGACACAACAACAAGGGGACACAACAACAAGGTGACACAACAACAAGGTGACACAGCAACAAGGGGACACAACAACAAGGGGACACAACAACAAGGGGACACAACAACAAGGGACACAGCAACAAGGGACACAACAACAAGGGGACACAACAACAAGGGGACACAACAACAAGGGGACACAGCAACAAGGGGACACAACAACAAGGGGACACAACAACAAGGGGACACAACAACAAGGGGACACAACAACAAGGGGACACAACAACAAGGGGACACAACAACAAGGGGACACAACAACAAGGTGACACAACAACAAGGGGACACAACAACAAGGGGACACAACAACAAGGGGACACAACAACAAGGGGACACAACAACAAGGGGACACAACAACAAGGGGACACAACAACAAGGGGACACAGCAACAAGGTGACACAGCAACAAGGGGACACAACAACAAGGTGACACAGCAACAAGGTGACACAGCAACAAGGGGACACAACAAACAAGGGGACACAACAACAAGGGGACACAACAACAAGGGGACACAGCAACAAGGGGACACAAAAAACAAGGGGACACAACAACAAGGGGACACAACAACAAGGGGGGACACAACAACAAGGGACACAACAACAAGGGGACACAACAACAAGGGGACACTACAACAAGGTGACACAACAACAAGGGGGACACAACAACAAGGGGACACAACAACAAGGGGACACAACAAAGGGGACACAACAACAAGGTGACACAGCAACAAGGTGACACAACAACAAGGGACACAACAACAAGGGGACACAACAACAAGGGGACACAACAACAAGGGGACACAACAACAAGGGGACACAACAACAAGGGGACACAACAACAAGGGGACACTAAAAACAAGGTGACACAACAACAAGGGGACACAACAACAAGGGGACACAACAACAAGGGGACACAACAACAAGGGGACACAACAACAAGGTGACACAACAACAAGGGACACAACAAAAACGGGGACACAACAACAAGGGGACACAACAACAAGGGGACACAACAACAAGGGGACACAACAACAAGGGACACAACAACAAGGGGACACAGCAACAAGGTGACACAGCAACAAGGGGACACAACAACAAGGTGACACAGCAACAAGGTGAACAGCAACAAGGGGACACAACAACAAGGGGACACAACAACAAGGGGACACAACAACAAGGGGACACAGCAACAAGGGGACACAACAACAAGGGGACACAACAAAAAGGGGGAAACACAACAACAAGGGGACACAACAACAAGGGGACACAACAACAAGGGGACACAACAACAAGGTGACACAACAACAAGGGGACACAACAACAAGGGGACACAACAACAAGGGGACACAACAACAAGGTGACACAACTGAAAGCTGAACACTCAGATGAATCTCGGGGATCTTAACAAGTATTTCTTTAGCCTTACAGCTGTCAGGAAGTGGAACAAGAGTGATGTAGTGGAGGCAGGATCCATACACAGCTTTAAGAAGAAGTATGATAAAGCTCATAGAGCAAGGAGAGAGAGGACCTAGTAGCCACCAGTGAAGAGTGCGAGCCAGGAGCTATGAATTGACCCCTGGAACCACATATAGGCGAGTACAAATAGGTAAGCACACACACACACATACACACACACACACACACACACACAACATACACACACCACACACACACCACACACACACACACACACACACACACACACACACACACACACACACACACACACACACACACACACACACAACACACACACACACACACACCACACACACACACACACAAAACACACACACACACCACACACACACCACCATACACACACCCACACACACACCACACACCCCACACACACACCCACACACAAAACAACAACCACCACACAAACACACACAAAACACACCACCCCCACACACACAACACACACACACACACCACACACCACACACACACACACAACAAAACACAAAACCAACACACACACACACACACACACACACACACCACACACACACAAACACACACACACCCCACACACAAAACAACAAAACACACACACACACACACACACAACACACACACCACACACACACACACACACACACACACACACACAACACACACACAACACCCCAACACACACACACACACACACACACACCCACACACACACAAACACACACACACACACCCCACACACCACACACACACCACACACACACACACACACACCCCACAACACACACTAACTTTCTCACAACAGAACAGTCAATTTCACTCACAAATGAACTAAAGATTTCTGAATTAAAAACGACAATTCAAACCTAAACTCCAAACACAAACAAACACACAAACTCCAAACACAAACAAACACTCAATTAACCCTCTCTTAGACCTGACAAGCACCTTGTTTTATCAATAAAACACCAAGTGAGTGATGTATCTGGTGTTTGTGACAGTGTATGGCAAGTATATATACACTGGGAGGTGTATATCTCAGTGTATATACACTGACTGCTTGTATTAACCTGTGTTATGGTGTATTAAAGTACTCTTGACTGGTGGGGTATGAGGTGACACAATCATGGTGAGGTAGACAGGGTTTAAACTCTGATATAGTGTGCGTGTTTGGCAACTGTGGATAGGAAGGATGAGGGATACCCTCTGTCTATCCAGTAGTTGATTCCCCTCGTCTAGCCTGCTGCTGTCCCCTCGTATACACACATACACGTATATACATGCGGTGGTTCGACCCCTCGTACTGCAAATAGGTGAGTACACACATGTATACATACGTGCACACATGTATACATACGTGCACACATGTACACATACGTACAGATATGTACGTAGCTTTAAGATGAGGTATGATGTATGGTTCTTGGAAGAGGCGGGACCAGGAGCTGTGACTCGACCCTTGAAAAGGCATTTACACACACACCAGTGTTGTTAGTGTTGTACCAGTGTTGTTATAGTGTTATACCAGTGTTGTTATATCTTTGACCACGTTTTGTACCATGTTGTTGTTATAGTGCTTATGTGCAAGTGTTGTTGTTATATGCATTGTACCATGTTTGTTATAGTGCTGTAGTACCAGTTTTGTTGTACAGTGTTTTATATGCTGTTTACCAGTGGTTGTTGTTTTGCTGTTTGTACCAGTGTTGTTGTATAGTGCTGTTGTACCAGTGTTGTTGTACCATTTTGTTGTTATAGTGCTGTTGTAACCATTTGTGTTATAGGCTGTTGTACCAGTTTTGTTGTTATAGTGCGGTGTACCAGAGTTGTTGTTATAGTGCGTTGTACCAGTAGTTGGTGTTTGAGTGCTGGTGGACCAGTGATTGTTGTTACCATGTTGTTTGTTAGTGCTGTTGTAAACCAGTGTTGTTGATTATATGCTGTTGTCCCCAGTGTTGTTGTTATAGTGTGTTGTACCCAGTGTGTTGTACCATGTATGTTGTATAGTGCGTTGTACCAGTGTTCGTTGTACCAGTTTGATGTACGGTGGTGTTATCAGTGTTTGTTGTACCAGGGTTGTGGTACCAGTATTGTTGTACAGGTTGTTGACCGTCGTTGTTAAGTGCGTTGAAACCCATGTTGTTGTTAAGTGCTGTTGTACCAGTGTTGTGTACCAGGTTGTTGTACGGTTGTTTTTTATCAGTGTTGTTGTACGTGTTGTTGTACCAGTATTGTTGTTATAGTGCGTTGTACCAGTGTTGTTGTTACGGTGGTGTTTTACCAGTGTTGTTGTACCAATATTGTTGTTACAGTGTTGTTGTACCAGTGTTGTTGTACCAGTGTTGTTTTTTTCCATGTCGTTGTTACATGTTGTACCAGTGTTGGTATGTTTCCAGTGTCGTTGTTACAATGTTGTACCAGTGTTTGTTGTTTAGGCTGTTGTACCAGTGTTGTTCCAGTGTCGTTGTTACAATTGTGTGTACCAGTGGTTAGTTGTTAAGTGTTTTGTTGTCCAGTGTTGTACCAGTGTTGTTATAATGTTGTACCAGTGTTGTTATTGTGTTGTACCATTGTTGTTGTTATTGGTGTTGTACCAGTGTTGTATAGTGTTGTACCAGTGTTTGTTATAGTGTTGTACCAGTGTTGTTTAGTGTTGTACCAGTGTTGTTCATAGTGTTTGTACCAGTGTGTTGGTTAGTGTTGTACAGTGCTGTTATAGTGTTGTACCAGTGTTGTTATAGTGTTGTACCAGTGTTTTGTCATAGTGTTGTACCAGTGTTGTTATAGTGTTGTACCAGTGTTGTTATAGTGTTGTTATAGTGTTGTACCAGTGTTGTTTTATGTTGTACCATGTTTGTTGTCATAGTGTTGAAACCAGTTTAACCAGTTATAGTGTTGTACCAGTGTTGCTCATATGTTGTAACCAGTTTTATAATAGTTTTACCCAGTTTAAGTGATTGTAACCAGTTAGTCATATGTTACCAGGTATCTATATTTGTACCAGTTGCCATAAGTTTTACACAGTGTATTTACTAGTTTGTACTAGGTTGTTGATTAAAGCTTTGTACATTAATATCTGCAAACACAAATTAAAACACAATGTACTCAAACATATTACACAGTATTATCTTTTAGACTTGCAGACCTGTTGTTTTATATATTAAACACCAAGTGGTGTATTGTACATGTGTTATAGTGTGACAGTGTATGGCAAGTTATATACATGGGAGTGTATTCATCAGTGTATATACATGATGTTGTATTAACCTGTGTGGTGTATTACAAGTACTCTTGACCGTGTGGGTATGAGGTACAAATCATGGTGAGTAGACCAGGGTTAACTTGATATAGTGTGCGTGTTTGCACTGTGGTAGGATAGGATGAGGATACCCTCTGTCTATCCAGTAGTTGATTCCTGTCAGCTGTCTGTCCTGTATACCACATACAGTAACAGCAGTGTTGTTCGACCCGTCGTACTGTACAAATGGTGATACACAATGTATAATAGTGACCATGTATACATACGTCACACATGTAACCATACGTACGTATGTACGTAGCTTTAAGTATAGGTATGCATGTATGTTCTTGAAGAGGGGACAGGGCTTGACTCGACCCTTGAAAGGCATTTACACACACACCAGTGTTGTTAGTGTGTACCAGTGTGTTATGTGTTAACAGTGTTGTTAAGTGTTATACCAGTGTTGTTGTTATAGTGTTGTACCAGTGTTGTTGTTAAGTGTTGTACCAGTGTTGTTATAGTGTTGTACCAGTTGTTGTTGTAAGTGTTGTACCAGTGTTGTTGTTATAGTGTTGTACCAGTGTTGTTAAGTGTTGTACCAGTGTTGTTATCGTGTTGTACCAGTGTTGTTGTTATAGTGTTGTACCAGTGTTGTTCATTGTGTTTTTACAGTGTTTTGTTATGTGTTGTACAGTGTTGTTATAGTGTTGTACCAGTGTTGTTATAGTGTTGTACCAGTGTTGTTATAGTGTTGTACCAGTGTTGTTGTTATAGTGTTGTACCAGTGTTGTTATAGTGTTGTACCAGTGTTGTTATCGTGTTGTACCAGTGTTGTTGTTATAGTGTTGTACCAGTGTTGTTATTGTGTTGTACCAGTGTTGTTGTTATAGTGTTGTACCAGTGTTGTTATAGTGTTGTACCAGTGTTGTTATAGTGTTGTACCAGTGTTGTTGTTATAGTGTTGTACCAGTGTTGTTGTTATAGTGTTGTACCAGTGTTGTTATAGTGTTGTACCAGTGTTGTTATAGTGTTGTACCAGTGTTGTTATTGTGTTGTACCAGTGTTGTTGTTATAGTGTGGTACCAGTGTTATAGTGTTGTACCAGTGTTGTTATAGTGTTGTACCAGTGTTGTTGTTATAGTGTTGTACCAGTGTTGTACCAGTGTTGTTATAGTGTTGTACCAGTGTTGTTGCTATAGTGTTGTACCAGTGTTGTTATAGTGTTGTACCAGTGTTGTTGTCATAGTGTTGTACCAGTGTTGTTATAGTGTTGTACCAGTGTTGTTGTTATAGTGTTGTACCAGTGTTGTTGTTATAGTGCTGTTGTACCAGTGTTGTTGTACCAGTGTTGTTGTTATAGTGCTGTTGTGCCAGTGTTGTTGTTATAGTGCTGTTGTACCAGGTGTTGTTAAGTGTGTTTACCAGTGTTGTTTACCAGTGTTGTTATAGTGCTGTTGTACCAGTGTTGTTGTTATAGTGCTGTTGTACCAGTGTTGTTGTTATAGTGCTGTTGTACCAGTGTTGTTGTACCAGTGTGTTTTAAGTGCTTTACCAGTGTTGTTGTTATAGCTGTTTACCAGTGTTTGTAAGTTTTACAGTGTGTTGTTATAGTGTGTACCAGTGTTGTTGTTATAGTGCGTTTACAGTGTTTTGTACAGTGTTGTTGTATAGTCGTTGTACAGTGTTGTTGTTATAGTGCTGTTGACAGTGTTGTTGTTATAGTGCTTTACCAGTGTTGTTGTACCAGTGTGTTGTTATAGTGCTGTTGTACCAGTGTTGTTGTACCAGTGTTGTTGTTACGGTGGTGTTTTATCAGTGTTGTTGTACCAGTGTTGTTGTACCAGTGTTGTTGTTATAGTGCTGTTGTACCAGTGTTGTTGTTATAGTGCTGTTGTACCAGTGTTGTTGTTATAGTGCTGTTGTACCAGTGTTGTTGTACCAGTGTTGTTGTTACGGTGGTGTTTTATCAGTGTTGTTGTACCAGTGTTTTGACCAGTATTGTTGTTATAGTCTGTTGTACCAGTTGTTGTTACGGTGGTGTTATACCAGTGTTGTTGTACCAATATTGTTGTTACAGTGTTGTTGTACCAGTGTTGTTGTACCAGTGTTGTTGTTCCAGTGTCGTTGTTACAATGTTGTACCAGTGTTGTTGTTCCAGTGTCGTTGTTACAATGTTGTACCAGTGTTGTTGTTATAGTGCTGTTGTACCAGTGTTGTTCCAGTGTCGTTGTTACAATGTTGTACCAGTGTTGTTGTTATAGTGTTGTTGTTCCAGTGTTGTACCAGTGTTGTTATAATGTTGTACCAGTGTTGTAATTGTGTTGTACCATTGTTGTTGTATTGTGTTTACAGTGTTGTTATGTGTTGTACCATGTTGTTATAGTGTTGTACCAGTGTGTTTTAGTGTTGTACCAGTGTTGTTGTCATAGTGTTTACAGTGTTGTTTTAGTGTTGTACCAGTGCTGTTATAGTGTTGTACCAGTGTTGTTATAGTGTTGTACCAGTGTTGTTGTCATAGTGTTGTACCAGTGTTGTTATAGTGTTGTACAGTGTTGTTATAGTGTTGTTTAGTGTTGTACCAGTGTTGTTTTAGTGTTGTACCAGTGTTGTTGTCATAGTGTTGTACCAGTGTTGTTATAGTGTTGTACCAGTGTTGTTGTCATAGTGTTGTACCAGTGTTGTTATAGTGTTGTACCAGTGTTGTTATAGTGTTGTACCAGTGTTGTCATAGTGTTGTACCAGTGTTGTTATAGTGTTGTACCAGTGTTGTCATAGTGTTGTACCAGTGTTGTTTTAGTGTTGTACCAGTGTTGTTGTTATAGTGTTGTACCAGTGTTGTTTTAGTGTTGTACCAGTGTTGTTGTTATAGTGTTGTACCAGTGTTGTTTTAGTGTTGTACCAGTGTTGTTGTTATAGTGTTGTACCAGTGTTGTTTTAGTGTTGTACCAGTGTTGTTATAGTGTTGTACCAGTGTTGTTATAGTGTTGTACCAGTGTTGTTGTCATAGTGTTGTACCAGTGTTGTTGTTCCAGTGTCGTTGTTACAATGTTGTACCAGTGTTGTTGTTACAATGTTGTACCAGTGTTGTTGTTCCAGTGTTGTTGTTACAATGTTGTACCAGTGTTGTTGTTCCAGTGTCGTTGTTACAATGTTGTACCAGTGTTGTTGTTCCAGTGTCGTTACAATGTTGTACCAGTGTTGTTGTTCCAGTGTTGTTGTTACAATGTTGTACCAGTGTTGTTGTTCCAGTGTCGTTGTTACAGTGTTGTACCAGTGTTGTTGTTCCAGTGTTGTTGTTACAATGTTGTACCAGTGTTGTTGTTCCAGTGTTGTTGTTACAATGTTGTACCAGTGTTGTTGTTCCAGTGTTGTTGTTACAGTGTTGTTCCAGTGTCGTTGTTACAGTGTTGTTCCAGTGTTGTTACAGTGTTGTTCCAGTATCGTTGTTACAGTTTTGTTCCAGTGTCGTTGTTACAGTGTTGTTCCAGTGTCGTTGTTACAGTTTTGTTCCAGTGTCGTTGTTACAGTGTTGTTCCAGTGTCGTTGTTACAGTGTTGTTCCAGTGTCGTTGTTACAGTGTTGTTCCAGTGTCGTTGTTACAGTGTTGTTCCAGTATCGTTGTTACAGTGTTGTTCCAGTGTCGTTGTTACAGTGTTGTTCCAGTGTCGTTGTTACAGTGTCGTTGTTTCAGTGTTGTACCAGTGTTGTTGTTCCAGTGTTGTTCCAGTGTCGTTGTTACAGTGTTGTTCCAGTGTCGTTGCAAGTTAAGTGTTCCATCACTTTAACTCTCAAACAACAACATTGCAATGACAACACTGTCAGAGGTCTTCTGTGCAACACTGTCCTCTGTGCAACACTGGTAATCTAGGTACATCAATGGCCACCTCAACATAGTGACTGATGTCACGGTGTCAGTGTTTCCTCAACACTCCTCTGTGCAACACTGGTAATCCAGGTACATCAATGGCCACCTCAACATAGTGACTGATGTCACAGTGTTCAGTCCATCAATCTACAAGATTGATGGACTGAACACATCGACTCCAGGTTGAGGGACTGATTACCTCATTCTCCTCCTCTCCTTACGCCTTCCTCTTTGTATTGGACTGATGAAGCCACTGTGTGGCGAAACGTTTCCTGAATAAAGATTTCCATATGCTGCATAAGTGTCTCAATCTTCACAGTTGAAGGGAACTGGCTGAGTAATCCGCTAGAGAGAGTTGCAGGATTGCTGGTTTGAATCACTGTTAGTGGGTGTGAGGTATATCTGGAGTGTACCTCCAGGTATACTCCAGGTATGTTCAAGGTATATTTCCGTGTCGCGGGGGTCACCGCCCCCGCGATACGGTCCATGACCTGGCCTGGTGGTGGATCAGGTACTGACTTTGTGTATCTGTCCAGCTCCCTCTTGAAGACAACCAGGGGTCTTGAAGACAGCCAGGGGTCTTGAAGACAACCAGGGGTCTTGAAGACAGCCAGGTGTCTTGAAGACAGCCAGGGGTCTTGAAGACAACCAGGGGTCTTGAAGACAGCCAGGGGTCTTGAAGACAACCAGGGGTCTTGAAGACAGCCAGGGGTCTTGAAGACAATCAGGAGTCTTGAAGACAGCCAGGGGTCTTGAAGACAGCCAGGGGTCTTGAAGACAACCAGGGGTCTTGAAGACAGCCAGGGTCTTGAAGACAACCGGGGGCCTTGAAGACAACCAGGGTCTTGAAGACAGCCAGGGTCTTGAAGACAACCAGGAGTCTTGAAGACAGCCAGGGGTCTTGAAGACA